AAAATTCCACTTGTTTCAATTTTTAAAGAAATATTAATTTGGACTCGTCACATTTTAATTGCAAAACTTGAGAAATTTCTAATACAGCTCTTTTCAACCCTTAGATCAAACCTTCTGGCTCAGCCAACCTGGCAGCAACACAGAAAATAGATTCGCTGTGAAATTCGTTTATAAACTGAATTTTGACACAAATTCTGCCTGTCTATAGTAAAGGTAAAGGTTCCCTTGCTTGAAAGCCAGTCGAATCAGACTCTAGGGTCGCGGTGCTCGTCTCCGTTTCAAAGCCGAAGAGCCAGCGCTGTCCGAAGACGTTTCCGTGGTCATGTGGCCTGCGTGACTAAACACCGAGGCGCACGGAACGCTGTTACCTTCCCACCGAAGTGGTACCTATTTATCTACTTGCAATGTCTTGCTTTCGAACTGCTAGGTTGGCAGGAGCTGGAACCAGAGATGGGAGCTCACTCCGTCATGCGGCATACTCGGGTCTCGAACTGCTGAACTACCGACCTTCCACAGCCTGCAGCTCAGCGTCTTAACCACTTGAGCCACCGCAGCTCCAATACTCCTATACGCCTAGTCAAAAAGAGCAAATGGTTATTCGACCACCAAGTCCTGTGCTCTCAGCCCCCATGCCCACACAGGCACAGTAAATCTGATTGCGGAACTGGAGGAGATTCCCGCTGGCTTAATTGTTAACCCTCCGAACCTCCCAGTCATCACCACCCCACCCATCCCGCGGTACTCACACAGAGCTCAGCTCCCATTAGGGCTGTTATTTTCAGTTGCATCATGGGATTACGGGGACTTTCCCCTGACAGGCCCCTCACTGACAGATCCAGGCAGGCAAGCATGGCCTGGGCATTCGTGTCATACCACCCCTCCCTGGACAGGAAAGAGCAGAAGAATCCTTCCTTAGCATGAAGTCTCCTCCTTCTGAGGTCACCAACAATCACCATCCACAGAGCAGAAGGGCCTCCAACTCTCCTCCCAACGACTCTGTGTCAACCTCCAATCCTGTTTATCCCACCACCATTTTCACTACTCTGTGCTGGACTATATGTCCTCCTTTTGGCCTCCTGAACGCTGTCTCCAAATACAGGGAAGAACACCCCAAAGCACAGCACAAAAGAGATTTTTCAGTCTGCTGTTCTGAATTTTTGGAGAAGGTGACCTCGCGACCCCACAGCCAGTTTGGTGTAGTGTTTAGGAGCCGGGACTCTAATCTGGGAGAACAGAGTTTGATTTCCCACTCCTCCACATGCAGCTGCTGGTGTGACCTTGGGTCAGTTACAAGTTCTTTCAGAGCTGTTCTCTCACGAGCAGTTCTCGAAAGAGCTCTCTCCGCCCCACCTACCTCACAGGGTGTCTGTTGTGGGGAGGAGAAGAGAAAGGGGACTGTAAGCCACTCTGAGACTCCTTCGGATAGTGAAGGGCGGGGTATAAATCCAATCTCTTCTTCTTCGTCTTCTCTCCTCCTTGTGGTTAAGGGGGCAAAGCTCCCAAACCATACCTGTAATGCTTTTTGAAGCTTAACTTAAAGGAGGAAGGACTCTCTCTGTGTCTGGGAATCTGTCATCTTATAGAAGTGTCTGCTTGCCTCCTCCATTCATTCTCTACAACCATAAATTAAGTAAATACATAAAATGTGCACATTTGTAAATACAAAAAAATACTACAAAGGCACTATAGGTTTCCAGTACTTCCTTACCTGTTGTGTATGTAATTGAATGTATAAAGGTATTGAGCTTGAGTACGAACAAGGTATTGTAAACTGACCTATCAGAACAAAGGAAGTTCTGGAGGGAAGCAAAGTGATTGGTCTTTATGTACCGTTTCTGATTGGACATTATCTGACATGTGGGCGTGGCTTGCCAAGCCCGGACTGTTTAAAAAGGAGCCTGTTGCTCCATTGTTTGTCTTGCTCTGGTTCTTCTGACTTCGTGTTCAATAAAGCTGTTATCACTGTTCACCTGCTGCCTTGAGTCTGGTATCTAGCATTACCCAAAGGAAACAAAGAACAGCAGTGATGCCCTTTAGGGCTACCAACATCCAGGTGGGGCCTGAATTCTCCCTGAAGTACAACCGATTTCCAGACAGCAAAGATCAGTTCCTCTGGAGAAAATGGCTGCATTGGAGGGTGGTCTTTATGGCATTATACCCTGCTGAGGTCTCTGTTCTCCCTAAACCCTGCCCTCCCCAGGATCTATACCCAAATCTCCAGGAATTTCCCAACCCAGAGCTGGCAACTCTATGTTGGAAATAGGCTTGCCAAGTCCCCCTGGGGGACAGGGAAACCCCCGCCCCAGAGGCCCGTTCCCCGCCGCCGCCGGATCGGGCCCCGGGAGGAACCCCACCCCGACGTGCACGTCACCAGGAAGTGACGTGACCATGCCGGGCACACTGGGGGCGGGGCCACAGCCATCTGAGGGAAAACTCTGTGTGCACTCCAGGATCGACCCGGGAGTCCCCCGCTTCAGGACAAGGTACGACTTGGCAGCCCTAGTTGGAAATGATCACATCTTGGCAGTCAGAGGCATACAACAGCGTACTACTAAGCTGTTGTCTGGATCATCATTTCCTCAAAGCCTGAGTTGCAAAGATTCTTTTTTAAAAAAATGGTTTCACACATTATTTTGGGAAGAAGACGTGAGCCTTACTAACATGCCAAGGTGTGAGGGAAGCTTGTGGATTTTCTCCATGGGGCAGACAGCACTTCTACTATCAGGTAAGCCTGATAATAAAATCAAAGAGGGCTCAGAATTTAGAGAAATCACAAGTAACACAGGGTTTCACCTCTCATTAGCTGCTGAGCTTGTTCTTATCTCTGAAAGGGGTGGGTGGGATAACAACGTCTCCAGAACTTAAGAAATGGCTAGTCAAGATTCTTGAAGTTGCTTGGACAACAATAGGTAAAATGCACAGAAGAGGTAGACGTGGAGAAAAAATGGCTGTCACTGCAATGTTCCCTCTAAGCTGTGGAGTCTTGTGAGCAAAAATTCTACTTCGTGAGCTCCTGGCATTAAAGTTGTGAGCAAGCAATGTGGCTACTACATAAATTAGTTTGCTCTGGAGCCATCCTTCCTGAGCGAAGACAAAAATGTGTGAGCTGGAGGCTAAAAAACTGTGAGCTAGCTCACACTAACTCAGCTTAGAGGGAACACTGGCTGTCAGTACAGTGTATTGGAGTTAGGGCTGCCAACTCCAACTTGGGAAACTCCTGGAGATTTGGGAACCAAACCTGGAGATGGTGGAGTTCGCGGATCGACCTCAGAGGGGATGTGATGTCATAGAGCCCACCCTCCAACGTGACCGCTTCCTCCAGATGAATTGATTTCTATAACCTGAAGATCAGTTGTAATTACAGAACTCCTGGCCCTACCTGGAGGATGGCAACCCTAACTGGAGGAAATAACATATCTGACTTCTTTTTAATGTTTTTTTAAAAGGACATGTGATTTGCTCGCATTTATTGTTATAAGCAAAACCACTCAAAACCTTTTCATTGGGCTCATCTTAATGTATGATAGAGTATAAAACAGAGGTCCCCAACCTTTTTGAGTCTTTGGGCACATACGCGGCATGGTGGACACAGCAACAAAATGGCTGCTGCAGGAGGCGGAGCCAGCCCCAAAATGATTGCCAGAGCTGAACTTCACACAGTGCATAGCCTTGTGCTGTGGTGGGAGCTGCCGCCAAAGTAACGTTTTTAACTGCACGGCCAATCAAATCAAGAATAGTCAATCAGAAGCCTTGCTGGACAAAAGCTCTACCTGGCCCCACCCACTTCCTCAAAACACTTGGTGGACACCAGGAAATGTGTTGGCAGATGCCATGGTGCCCGTGGGCACCACGTTGGGGACCCCTGGTATAAACCACAAATCATTACCAGGAACAACAGTGCTTCCCTCTGATGCAAGCAGCCTTGCAAGAATGCAAGAGCTGTTCAGTCAGCAGAAGGCACCTTTTCTAAGGAAAGCACCACTATTTGCTGAATGTATCCATGGGATCTAGTCCAATATACATGAAATTACCCCAGAACCCAGCATAGTGTCTGGCGTTTGGCTGTTAGCCCAAGGCTTTTTCCAGACCGTTGATCTCCCCCCTCCTCTGGTTTGCTTCTCTTTCTTATCTACTGTTTTTGATAAATTGCTGCTGATTTTGAGAAATTTTTAAAGATTAGATTAGTACTGTTATTTCACTGTTTCTGCTATGGCCTATAATTTTATCCTGTTCCTTATGCAGTTTTAGACAGCTGCTTTAACCAGTGGATGAGTTTATGTATTTATTTTCATCATATTCTTCTTGGAACCCCCCCTTGAGAGAGCGGTATATAAATATTTCAGACACGTAAAGTAAGAGTGGTGGCATGGGCTTGTGTTCAGGGTGCTGGACTAGTGTTTGGGAGACCCATGTTCAAATTTGTGCTCACCAGGTAACCTTGAGCCAGTCTCTCTTCCAGTCAAACCTACCTCATAGAGTGGTTGTTGTGAGGATTAAAATGGAGGTGGTCAGAATTATGTTCTAAGTTACTTTGGGTTCCCTTTGGGGAGATAAGTGAAATATCTGAACAAATGAACAAACTGTTCCTTCCACCTCTCGGTTAGCTCTTACCTGAGGCATCCATGCCATTTGAGGTCGAGGCTACCTGGCCTTCCGTCCCTCAGCATTAATGCATAACCTCCCTCCCGCTGTCAATACGCTGGCCCTTCTACCTGCCAAGACTCACCCTTCTTTTGCCTGTCCCACATCTTCCTCGATTGGGACTGCGAGGAGAGGGCGGACTTTCAACTGCTGGAGCCGCTGCAGGGTGGCTTTGATCTCCTCAGGGGTTTCACCCGCCACAAACTGTCCATAAAGCGTGAGACGGAGCAAACTGCCCCAGAGTCGGCGGCCCAGAACCCGTCGGGAGACAGAAAGGAGCTTAAGAGGAGGAGAGGGAAATACAGGGTTAGGGGACAACCCATCCCATAATTTGCCCAAAGACATCACATCATAGGACTGTGGGGCTCTCCTTGTGGAGAAGATGCGGTTCAGGATTCAGGGAGTTCCTCATCTCACCCTGGGTGCCTTCTGAACCAGCTGCGGGGAGGAGCAGAGCAGGAAGACCAGCAGTCCACGAGTGATCTCCCAGTTGGCCTTGTGCTGGAACACCTTCCTGTCGTCCAGGTTGAGTGGGGGACTGGGAGACACGGGTTTCTGTGCAGGAGCTTGGGCCCCCCAGAGAGCCGTCGCCCCGAGATGCAAACAACGAGCCCTGCATCTCAGCATACCGCCAGCTCAGACTGAAGGCTGCAGCGTTACACCTTGGAACACAACACCTGGAGCCTTTCCCACCGTGTTTGGGGCACCAAGGCTGTCAGTGAGCACACCACCAGGCCAACGGGATGCTGGCTCAGCAGGTGAAGCGCAGGAGGGGCGAAGAGCGGCTTGGTGGGGCAGAAAAATTGCTGAGGAGGAAAAGTCACTTATTAACACCAAGGCTGGCTCCTTCGGCCTCATTTGCTTTGACCTATCAGATTCGGGTCCTTGTAGAGAACAGATTCTCAGCAGGTTGTGTTATCTTCCATAGGATTCCGTATCTGAGATAATGTATGGGGTTGCACTCCTCTTGAAGGAGCAGGTCCATAGTCTGGGGGTGATCTTGGATCCAGGCCTACTGCTGGATAAGCAGGTGGCAGCTGTGGCCGGGAGTGCCTTTGACCAGCTTCAACTGCATAAATCGATGGTGTGACCTCATTTGGAATACTGTGTGCAATTCTGGTCACCACATTTCAAAAAATTATAGCACTGGAGAAAGTGCAGAAAAGGGCAACTCGAATGATAAAAGGGTTAGAACACTTTTCCTATGAAGGAAGGTTAAGGCGCTTAGGGCTCTTTAGCTTGGAGAAACGACGACTGAGGGGGTGACATGATCGAGGTTTACAAGATTATGCATGGGATAGAGCAGGTAGAGAAAGAGGTACTTTTCTCCCTTTCTCACAATACAAGAACTCGTGGGCAGTCAATGAAATTGCTGAGCGGTCGGGTTAGAACGGATAGTCTTTGCCCATGTATAGCTACACTGACTCCCAATTTGTTTCCAGGCACAATCCAAGGCACTGGTCTTGACATTCAAAGTCCTATATTGCTTGGGACCAACATACCTGAAGGAGTGCATACTCCCTTATGAACCTGCCATTCCCCTGCAGTCATCTTTGGACGCCCTGTTTCGGGCACCCTCACCTTGTGAGATTACATGGGTAGCAACCTGGGAAAGGGCCTTCTTGGTAGCAAATTACATGGGTAGCAACCTGGGAAAGGGCCTTCTTGGTAGCAAAACCAAAGCTCTGGAACTCCCTCCCTGGGGAGATTTATCTGCTGCCTTTGGTTGCCATCTTTCGCTGGTGGGTGTAGTTGGTAAGATTCAATGTGACTTTAGTTTTGAGACTGTAAATAACAGTGGTAACAGTATAACGATGTTATTAATTTAATAGGGTTCTTTCGTATTATTGTGATTAATCTTTTTGAAATATTTAAAAAAGTATTATTGCATTTTGTACTTCTACAGTTCTTTGTTCCTGAGGAAGGACCAGAAGTCTGAAACACTGGAAAATTACCTAGGAAAAGTGTTGGACTTTTTTGGATATTTATCCTGCTTATTTATTCTTTGACTTCTGTGTTTTCCTACGATGGACTTTTTTGGCTTCTGTATTTTCCCACGATAGATTATATGGATAGATTTATTCCAGACAATAGATGCATTTCACTTTAATGAAGTCTCCTTTGTGAATATTTTGCGGGAAATTCAGTTGTTTTCTGTTATTCTTTGCCACTTGTGTTGTACTGTCTGCTGTTGTTTAAAAAGAAAGCAAAACCTTCGACACTAGTGTTTTTAAAATGCACTGCAAGGAGCAATGGCTCTCTGCCAGAGTATGAACATGGGCAAGGTTTGGAAGTGTCCTGTCTAACAGTCAGCACAGGCAAATCTCAGAATGTTTGGCTTGGAGATCTCTGCTCACTCTCTCCACCCGCACTACCGATGCCTTCCTCTCCTTGGGAACTGATGGCAAAAACTCAGGGTTACTGATGTGGGCTCAAACAGAGGACCCCCACCACCCCCCATTTCCTTTGCTTGATAGTCTCCCCTGCCTCCCGCTGTGCTCCCAAGGACTCCACACAACACAGTCTCTTTTCAGACCGAATCTTTTATTCTGTGTTTGAAGCCTGGAAATCTGAATAAGACACCCCCCCAACATCTCCCATGAGAAAGTTCTGCGGCAACAGTCTGAGGATTAGTAGTTACTCTGACGTTCTTGTTGCCGGTACCCTCCACGACGCATGTAGCCGCCTTCATTTTTACGGTAGCCATCTTTTTGATCTGTAGGGCAGAGATGAACAGGAAGTGATGCCGGTGAAAGACAGTCATGCTATACTAAAAGGGACCACAGAGAACCAGAAGATTGAAAAAATACAACACCACGTAAAGCCAACAAACAATTGCAACTGACGCATTGTTATATCCGATATAGATTAACAATTCCAAGAAGTCAATTTCCAAGGCAGAATGAGCATATAAATACACCAGGTGGCCTTAGTTCTCACAACTCAAGTCTCTTTGTTTTTTCTTCCTTAAGGAGACTGAAGCAGTCAACACGCCATACCAGACTGTAAGCGCTTTCAGTCAAACTTCCTCAGGATCAAATCAAATCAATAGGAACCAAAGCCTTCATGCATTAAAGAAAGCAGAACAGAAGCCTCTAAATGGGGTTTAGCAGCTGCCTCGTCTCTTTCAGCTTGGCGTAATGGTTCTCTGCCTTGGAAATTGATGTGCTGGAACTGTTAATATATATTGGATATAACAGTGTGCATAATGGTTCTCTGCCTTGGAAATTGACTTGCTGGAACTGTTAATATAACAGTGTGTCAGTTGTCAATGTTATCGTTGTTATAATGGTTTGTTAGCTTTACGTGCTGTTGTATTTTTTCGGTGAAAGACAGTCAGCAAAACATCCCAGAAACTGGTTTAATTGTTAAGATGGTATGCGTATGTGTGAAAGAGAGAGAATGTGTATGTGCATGGGGAGGAAATGACACAATGATGAGGAGGGTTTGAACTGCTGTCAAGTGCTCAATCCTAGTTCTTCCACCAAAACATATGGCAATTTTTCAAACTAAATTTGCAATTTTTGGCTTGAAGAAATCTGAAGGGAGGAAGACGACATTTAACTTTTTGTGACTTCCGTAGAGGAGCCAAAGAGAGTTGGACCTCGTCTAAAGGCAAGGAAAGCAGGTAGCACTCCCCACAACCAGAAGCCCTATCTGATCGGTGGGATGGATCCCATCTAGATGGCTGTGTGTGTGTGTGTGGGGGGGAAAGCATTTACCGATTCCTTGCTCCTGCAGCACCTCAAAATACACCTTGAGATGCTGCTGCAGAGTTGGGGGGAATCAGAGGTCAGGGGACTTGTGAAAAATCATCCTGTCCCCTTGGGTCCGCAGAAATCTAGGCAGGATCCAGGCCACTGGAAATTGGTCAAATGCTGTCAGGTGTTTCTTCAAAATTACAAAGGAAATGGGAGCAAGAAAGGGGGGTATACCATTGAATCACTGGAAATAAGTACTGCCCTACACAGACTGTGGCAAAAAGGTAGCCAGGGGAATAACTGGACGAGTGGGGGGAGGAGAGGAGGAAGAACCCGTTAGGACAACAGATTCCCAGTGTTCTACTCACCCCGGAAATAACCCCCGTAGATGCCCTGCTTCTGGTCAAAGACCCTCTCGTTGTTCTCCACGAGGCTGCCCAGCTTCTCAGCCAGCTGCAAGGCCAGGTTCTGCTGGGATGTGGGCTCCGTTCGGTGCATCACCACTGTTTGGGTTGGCTGGTCCAGGGAAGCCTTGGGGAAGGGAAGGGGGGAAGATTTGGGGATGCTCAGACCAATCCAGAAAGGGAAGCTCTGCTATGAGATCTCAAATATTCTTAAAGTCCCTTCTCCGAAGAAGGTCCAACGGAAGTTCTTCGGTGGCCTTGTCGAAGCTGCTGCAGGAACCTGGCCTTTGGACCTGGGAAGGGCTTCAAGGCGATTTGTGGGGAAGGGACGCGTTTCTCCTGGTCTCTCCCTCCCATTATTGCCATCTGGCGCCCCTCACCGTGGCCAGCCCGCCAACCCTTCCGTGTACCCCCAAGCACTGCCAGGCAGAAGCTCACTCACCATCAGCTCTTCGTTGATGATCATCTTACTGATGATGCTGTGCACGGTGGGCAAGTCCAGCTCGAACATATCGGACAAGATCTCCATGCTAAAAATGGGATTAAGGTGTGGAGAAGAGGAAGGAGAGATTGTGACTCAGTTTCCAGAGGGATACTTGACCACAGTGACCCTTAGAGGATCCCGTAGCCGTGTACCAGACAAAAAAAGTGCACTGAAGTACAACAGAAGGATTTGTTTGGGGGGGTCAGACGGACCGGAGGGAGAGGCTGAATCTTGGGAGAATCCCCAGCCCCTCCCCCCGCTGGGTACTCCCCACCACTGCTGCCACATGCACTCAGCAAACCATGTCCCACAATCGAAGGAGGAGGCAGGAGTTCAAGAGAGGCCTCCCCACTGTACCCCCAACACACTACCTGATGGAATCATAGACACTGCTGTAAGTGAAGAGGTAGGTTCGGAGAGACTCCTCTTGGATCTTCCTGCAGGGGGCGTCAAAGAAACAAGAGAAGCAGCCATGAGAACTAGAAACATGAACCTCTAAAGGGGCAAAGGTAGCATGAAGGTCATCGTCACTCTCTTTAACATTCATTTATGGGCACATGCATTGGGGTCAGGAAGCAATTTTCTCCAGCCAAGTTTGGCCAGGGATCCTGGAGGGGGATTTTGTTTTTTTGCCATCTTCTGGGCATGGAGCAGGGGTCACTGGGGATGTGGGGGGGGACCATCATTAAAGTGTCGAATTCTCTGCCAAATAATTTTAAGTAAATGAAAGCATTTGGGATTGCTTTCCTTACTTTGTTTAGATCATCTTAAGTTAATGTATGAGTTGTTTTTTCTAAAGTAAACCCTCAGTATTCAGGTTAAATTGACGTGTTGGCACTTTGCGATAAATAAGTGGGTTTTGGGTCGCAGTTTGGGCCCTCGGTCTCTAAAAGGTTCGCCATCACTGGACTAGGGGACCCTGGAGGTCCCTTCCAACTCTATGATTCTATGATGGGATGAGATTTAAACCTTTCACCTTCACACAACTTCTATAATTAGCTTTCTTATTAAGGGGAAATAAAACAGGCAGCTGCCTTTGGCCCATCTCTTCTCTTTAAAGGACCATATTCTTTAAAGGACAATATTGCTGCAGGAATTAGTGAAGAAAAGCCCCCCCCCCCCGATCCATACTGGTGCTGCGTGCACCTATAAGTGAATTCTCCTAGCTTCTCCATAACCTGCAGCACCACATTTAAGAAAAGAGGCAGGAAATCCTCACACTCCCCGCCCTCCCCCTCTCAATCCTGGCTCCAAACTGACCGGACAAGCATGGAGCGCACTTTGTCTGCCTCCGGGAAGAGGTCCCAGACTTTCCCATTCATTTTCTCATTGACGATGAAACGGTGGCACGTCTTCCAGTCGCCCATCTTCATGGCCTTGGAGGCGGCCACCACGTGCTCCCTCATGGACTCTGGGGGGCCTGGAACGGAGGGGAGCCGGGAGAAGGAGACAGATTAGCAACCCGAGCCGGAAGGGAATTCCTGCAGCTGCTCAGACGGGCAAGAATGGCCAGAAGAGCAATTTCTACGGCCAAAATGGACAAACTGGGCTACTTGAGGGACCACTCACCCAGAAGGGGCTGGCGCTCGCCCACACGCAGCTGGTGATGGAACTGCTTGCTGATCATGCGCCGCCGTGCATCGAACTCGTGGGCGGCCATGTAGGGGATCTCGAGCAGCATGGCAGACACCAGGTAGACGCACTCCAGCAGCTCCAGGTTGATGTGCATGTGGAAGGGAACCTGCCGGCGCTTCTCAATCTTCTCTTGCTCTTGGTTGCGCTCCTGCATGCTGCGCATCAGCAGGCCCTGCCCCAGCAGCTCCTTGGCCCGCCCGCTCGACTGGATGTCCAGCAGGGCATTGTGGGCGTCCTTGATCATGCCCTGGCGGAAGGCGCAGATGCCGAGCTGCACCATCGTCCTGTTATACAGAATCTGCAACGGCAAAGGGAGGAGTCACGGAGATCGTGACCTTCAGCCCTTATCAACCGTGGCCATCTGCCTTCTACCTGCAGCAGGCCTTTGCTCCCACCAGCTGTCCTTTCACGGGACAGAAGGACCAGCCATGAGGGCAAGCAACTAGATCTCCACTCCTGTGTCACAGACTATGTATCTTCCTCACATATGATGCGCTTTCACTTCCTCGGGGTTTCAATGGGCAGCTTTGTCCAGACATGCCTTGTTTTCGGTCTCTGTGCATTTCTCGTCCATTTGCTCCCTCCCTCTTGACTGCCACTATGAAGGGTGCTTTCAGAAGAATAAAGGTGGTGGGGACTGCACGGTCCTACTATGAAGGGTGCTTTCAGAATAAAGGTGGTGGGGACTGCACGGTCCCCGTTTGTCCTCTTGGGAACGACGGAATCATTCCGCCAAGTCTACTGCGGCTGCCCTTCACCAAGCAGGGAGACGGGCTCGAGAAAAAACAGGTTGCTTACCAGTAACTGGTGATCTTCAAGTGGTCATCTGTGCATTCACACCAATGGGATCTAGTGCACCTGCGCTGGATCGAGCGCAGGCGCACTAGATCCCATTGGTGTGAAGCACAGAGACCACGAAGAAGATCTAGTTGTGACTCAGCAGAGTTGACCGGGTTTCTGTCCCATGAACTCTGCATAGAGAGATTTTGGTTCTTGGTTCTTGTTTGGATCCACAAGACCAGGAAGGTTCTAAAGTAATGAGTTTGGATATGAGAAGCCCAGATTCCAAAGCCTCATTCTGTCACAATCCTTAAGTTTCTGTGACTTTGGCTAACCCGCTCTCTGTCACCTGCCAGTGTGGTGCAACAGTTAGCATCTCAGACTGGGACCTGGGAGACTCAGGTTCGAATCCCCACCCTGCCGTGGAAGCCTGCTGGCTGACCTTGGGCTAGCCACATGCTCTCTGTCTAACCTTCCTCATAGAGGCAAAGTCTGAGTCCGGCGGCGCCTTCAAGACCAACAAAGTTTAATTCTGGGAATAAGCTTTCTGTGCATGCACACTTCCTCAGATACGTATCTGAAGATACATGATCGGTCATCTGCTTTGGCTACCATCCCACCCGACCTAGTTCCCGAGCCCGCCTTTTTCCGGGAGAACCATGGCACACACGGCAATGCGAACCTAAGACCGGAGGTCTGTCCGGTCACACAGGATGGATGCTGCTTAGCCAACCGGAGATGTACACAGCGTGTGTGTGGGAAGGTCCCCGCCATTTGTTCATATATTTATACTCTTGCCTTTCTCTTCCAGTAGGGACCCAAAGCAGCTTACACGCATCGGTTTCCCTTCTTCCATTTTCTTCTTGTAACAACCATCCTCTGAGGTCGGTTAGGTTGAGAGTAAATAAGCAGCCCAAGGTCAGCCAGAGACTTCCACCGCAGACTGGGGATTGGAACCTGGGTCTCCCAGGATACTAGTCCAACACCCTGACAGCTCCACCACGCGGGATCTCTGAGCAGCTTATAATGAGCTCTGCGCCAGTCCAAGCCTCATTCTCTCCATTCAAACCAAGCTAATCAGTCTGCTTGTTGGGAGAAGTAACCACTCTAGGCCGACAACTCACTGCTCTTGGAGGACTATAGCTATAGCCAAGCTCCACCCTCCCGAGCCCTTCTTGCCCCAGTTTTGCTCTCTAACCTGTACAGGAGGGTCTGCATGCTGGATATTGTCCTGCAGGTGACTCATGAGCATCAAATCACGGGCCTGGTACCAGCGGTCGTGCAGGGCGTGATGGTAGATGTGGCAGAGGATGGCGCAGGTACGAATCCGGTCTGTCCGGTCCCTGGCATAGATGAACTTGCAGAGGCGCTCCATTTGCACTGCAGAGTCCTCGGCTTCGTTTTCAGCCTGGTCTTGCTCTGACTAGGAGGAGAATCACAACTGTAAAATAAGCAGGGGACGAGACTCCGCTTCTTGTTTCCCTAGACGCAATCACGTGTGAACGCTCCCCCTACCACGACACTAAGAGTGCATCTACGGTAGGAATGGAAGCCAGTCTCCACGTTGGTTCTTTGTTAAAGCTCCCGACCAGGGAACTGCAGCTCTGCAGAGGGGAACTAGAGAGCTCCACAAAGCATTCCTGGCACCATCACTCAGACCTCACCTTTCAGAATAACCTCCAAGGAAGCCACAGCAGCCACACCTGTTTCAATTAAGCTTAGCTGTGAGTCTACACATGCCCCCAACCCCATGGTATTCCCCCCCCACCCACGATATCCATGTGATGGTTTGTCTTAAAATACAGAACCTAAAAAGGTTAGTCAGGAATAGAAAAGGGCCAACTCTAAAAATCTAATCATAAAATATACAAAAATATGTATGTGTGTTTATTCAACAAAAATTAAAATAACAAACAAGGGCCCATTCATACCTCATATAAAACTATAAAAACATACAAGGGCTAATAAGATAGACCTAATAAGATAGACCTAACGCGTTTCGGCCTTTACAGGCCTTCTTCAGAGGTCTACTACATACAGAACATATAGGCTGATGTGTAAAAATGCATACATTTCTACATATACAAAATATGGAATAAAGACCAGAGATCAATTGTTCCAAAGTTTAACCACTGGGCAAGGAAAAGAAATACAGAAAGACAAATGAAGCCTCCAGTGAAATCACATGTCCAGTGGTACTTCTCTCTGGTCAACTGTATATTCATCTAAGGTTGTACAGCCAAATGTTCCAAATGTTCCTTAGGTTCTGAATTCTAGGTTTAGGTTCAGTTTTTTCCCCTTTTTTTCTTCTTTGTCCTTTTTGTCTTAAAATACAACCCACCCACCCCCTGAATTTCGGCCAGCCTGTAAACAACATCTCCAAGCCTCCAAAAATGTGTGCCTATTACGGCTCCTGCACAGCCGCTGGAGCACCAGATATCACATACTTCTTCCCACACAGTTCAGGGTATGCCAAGCAGACTCATCTTAGGGGTTACGCTACACGTGTATAACCCCCGGCCCTGCACGGCATGCCACAGCCACAGGGTGGGCATATTCTAGCAGACTTGCTATCAGGGTGGGGCCCGGCTGCGTGCACAGAGACCGACCGACCTTGCTGTCCCCAGCCGGCCCCTGCTGCCGCTGGTGGGCCTTGTAGTCGAACTTGTAGTAAGTGTGGAGGATGCATCGGAGGTAAACCCGGCAGATCTCCTCCGTGGTTCCCTTGTCCTGCAGGTAGGTCTGCACACGATCGATGATCTTGCAGACACGGCCCTCGTCCTTCAGGTGGTCCACGTATTCTGGGGGAAAGAGAACGTGAGCGCTTCACCATCCTTACGGGCAGGGCTGGCAGTTTCTGATACATCGTGCAAAAATATGACAACAGCTTAGGGTAGACTAATAAGCTCAGATTTCTATTTTGGGGGACACTGGCACCTCACCCCAAGTTTCTAGCCCTTATGACTGCCGCATCCAAATCTTTTTTTTTTATAAAAAATTTTATTGTCAGGATATAACATCATGTCCAACATTAAAACATTTAATCAATCATTTTATACCCTTTTCCCCTTCAACCCTCCCGCAGTGCTCCCACCCCCTCCAAAGTCTCTCTTTTCTCTTCATTTCCCCCTTCATCTAAAATTAAACTTAACAGGTAACATTTTCTTAAACTAATATCTCCATAAATTCAACTATTTCGGATTCTTTCTATTCTTAAGAATTATCAAAACTAAATAGATTACTCTTCAGGTCCCAATATTTCTCCAAATACTCTTTAAAGTCTTTCCAGTCGGCAAAAAATTCTTCCGCTTCTTGGTTATTAAGTTTTCTTGTCAATTTATCCATTTCTACCACAAAAAGCACCTTTTTTATCCCCTCCCAGATTTCAGGTATTTTTTCTTGTTTCCAACACTGAGCATAAGTCAGTCTAGCCGTTGGTGATCAAGTACCACATCAAAGTCCTCTTTGTTATATTCGCTTCTTCCATCTTGTCCCAAAAGTAATATTTCTGGTTCCTTCTTAAATGTGCATTTCAAAAAATTTTCCATCTCGTTATGGACCTCCGTCCAAAAATTGCAGCATCCAAAACTGAACACACTCAGGATGAATCTGAACGGGGCTCCTGTGTTCACAATGGGGACTTCTGTGTTTTGATTAGCTACTCTTTTTTCATCCCCCCCCCCCATCACCTCCCCATACTGGCCATGCACTCTTTCTTTACCATTTTTAAAAAAACATTCCCTAAGAGCCCTGCTGGATCAGAACTCACACAGTGGCCAACCAGTCCCTCTGGAGGTCCAGAAACAGGGCACGGGGTCTGAGACCCTCGCCTGATGCTGCCTCCAGGCACTGGTATTCAGAGGTTTACTGCCTCTGCACGTGGAGGTTCCCTCTGCTCACCATGGCTACCAGCCACTGACAGACCTACCCCTCCTCCATGAATCTCCCTAATCCCCTTTTAAAGCAGTCTATGACTGTGACCATCGTTAAATTCTCTGGCAGCAAATTCCACATTTTAATCACTCATTGTGTAAAGAAGTCTTTCCTCTTGTCCGTACTGAATCTACTGCAGGCGGAAGTATTCCCACAATGCCAAGCACAGGAGGTTCCAGCCCAGCAGACAGATCCAACAGCGACCCCTCCCCATTGGTTGCAGGCCTCCGTCCAACCCCCAACTCCTCCCCTCCCCCCGGTTTGGACCTCTGAGATTCCCTCCCCAACACGCTCACCTTGGGAGTGGGGGTCTGTGTTCTGCATGATCTTGGTGAACTCCTCGTCCATCCGCTCCACCAGCGTCAGAATGCAGCCACGGACGCGAAGGGGCTAGGGGAAAAGGAAAACAGGCAGCAGGATGGAAGGGTGTCAAACGCCACTGGGCGTACTGAGCAAAGGAAACTGTTTCAGCCGCTGGCCAGAACAGCCACCATCACAGATGAGCACTGTCGCAACAGTGGAACAGCAAGGAAGCTAAGAGCAAGTGACTAAGCACACCCCTGAATCATACTTGTGTCCATTAAACCTTCTGCGTTAAGTCAGAATATGGCAACTTTAGACAAAAGTTTACAGAGGAACAAAGGACGGCATAGAGACGGCTTCCCTTCTGGTGCATTATCACCAAGTAAAGGTAAAGGTTCCCTTGCTTGAAAGCCAGTCGAACCTGACTCTAGGGCTGCGGTGGTCATCTCCATTTCAAAGCCGAAGAGCCAGCGCTGTCCGAAGACATTTCTGTGGTCGTGTGGCCGGCATGACTAAACACCAAGGCACACGGAACGCTGTTACCTTCCCACTGAAGTGGTACCTATTTATCTCCTTGCAATTTCTTGCTTTCGAACTGCTAGGTTGGCAGGAGCTGGAACTAGAGACGGGAGCTCACTCCGTCATGCGGCAACTCGGGTCTTGAACTGCTGAACTACTGACCTTCCACAGCCTGCAGTTCAGCGTCTTAACCACTTGAGCCACCGCAGCTCCATTATCACCAAGTAAGAAGTGTCTATTAGGGCCAAACTAGATGTCACATCTGCAGCAGCGTATCCAGAAATTTCGGGATGGTGAGGCATGGGGAAATTTTGTGGGGCAGCAGGGGAAGGGGCAAGGGGGAGGGAGGGGGGAGTGGCAGCTTGGAGTTCAGGAAAGGTGTGCAGCCAGCCACCGCCACCCCTTGTGCAAGATTTAAAGGGCCTGCTGATCAGCTGGAGCACCCTTTAAATCTTGGAGGAGGGGAGGGAGGAGGGTGGCTGCAAGATTTAAAGGGCCCTGCAGCTGATTGGCAGGCCACATGCAATGCTCCCTCTAAGCTGTGGAGTCTTGTGAGCAAAAATTCTGCTTTGTGAGCTACTGACAATAAAGTTGTGAGTGAGTGACTTGGCTACTGCATAAATCAGTTTGCTCTGGAGCCATCCTTCCTGAGCTAAGACAAAGATGTGTGAGCTGGAGGCTTAAAAACGGTGAGCTAGCTCACACTAACTCAGCTTAGAGGGAACACTGGCCACATGTGGACCCTGGAGGGTCCCTTTAATGTCACAGGGATGGAGGGAGGGAGGAGTGAGGGGGCAGAGGAGCAGCCGCCGTTGTGGGGCATCCCTCACATTTGAAGGGGCAGAGCCCCCAAATGCCCCACCGTAGCGACAGGCCTGCACACCTGGCACAAGACTGATCAGTGCACAACCACACATGATGTTGGAGAACTGATACTCCCAATCATGCCGGGGCCCTATTTGGCATGGTACTGTGGCATGGGGGGGAGGGGCTTTAGCTTTCCCTCCCCACACTATTTTCCTGAGTTGGAACAGCCTGTAGGGTTTAGTTTGCCCCACTGTAGGGTTTAGTTTGCCCCACTGTAGGGCTCTATGTGCAGTCCTGGTGTGTTTGGGAACTTCAGTTCGTGCTTGGAGCTGCAAAGGTCAGAGCCAGGTCGGAGGAACCCTTACTCCAGCTCACACCAGAACCAAACTTCAGCTTGGGCCTTCAGTGCGCAGTTTCACACTTGCAAATAACCCTGGGAGGAACCGGTCCCTCCCTCCTTGGATTGTCAGGTTGCAGAACAAACATCTTTAATGTCAGCTGTGCCACAAACACAATGCTGCAGGTCATAAAAGGACTTATTGGACTTTAAGACAGTATATGTTCATACACACACACACACGTGCCCTTCCTGCCCTCTTATTTATGGCCAACCCATCTACACCAGCAGCCTCACCCACCTCCTCCGGCTCATTCTACCCTGCCCTGAACATAGAGGAGGAGCTGCAGACACCTGCCTACTGGATACCAACCTGTTCATTATTGGACAGGTTCTCTGAGTCTTCCGCAATGTTCTCACCAATGAAGATGTTGGGTTGCGCAAAGAGGATGTTCATGAGCTCATCGATGCAGTCGAGGCATTTCTGCCACATCTCTGGCTGCATGAGAAGTGAAGCAAAGACACCACTCGGCATTTCAAGGCAGAAGCATTCGTTTTGCAAGGTTATGTCTCCCAAACCATGCTGGAGAGGGGACTGGGCCTCGTGCTGGAATCCTTCCCCCACCCACGGCCCCATACCTTCATGTACGTTGCTAAGTTGGGGTTGTAGTCATACAAGGAAGCAACAATGTTGAACTTGATCTTAACATCAATGGCAACTCCCAGGTTGTTCTCCGCTGCAATTCCGACCAGCAACTGCAGGAGTTCGATCTGTGCTGCCCTGTAGGGAGGAGATGCATTTGCACAGATGGAGGGAGAACTGCTCGACGATACACGATACTTCCCAAAATCAGCACAACACTCACTAGGCTATGCGAAAACCTCTAGCCCTGGTGCAAGACTGGGTCAGATCTAGTGATCCACAGGTGCAAGGCTCATGGGCCCTTCCCGCATTTCTTTCCTCCCAGCAACCCCACCCCAGGAAATAAGATTCCCAGGACTGCTGAATATCTGTGGACTACTCAGGATGAGCTGCACTCAAGAGGGAGAAGGGACAGAAAACCACCCCGTCCTGTGAGAGCCACACAAGAGGCAGAAGGGTGATTCTGCTTCCTTCTCAGTATAGCCCCTCCCAAGCTGTGACTACGGCTGGTATCAACAGCAGGCGGCAGAGGGCAGTTGCCTTGGCCCAGGGACAGCCAAAGGGTCAACCAGCTACCCCTGCTGTTGTATTCTGTGCTAATGCGCACTCAGGGATGGTCCTCTCCTATCCCCGTGAGCAGCGAGACTCTACATGATCTCCAGACACCATTTTCATAGATCTATGAAATGAGATGGGCTGCATGGAACCGACAGCCTTTGCCTTGAGAGCCCCTTCTCTAAATCTCAGCTCTTTTGAGGCTGCCTGTGGTTAGGAAGGGAAAACACCCTGTACGTCCACAAGGCCTTCCGCTTCTTCCATTGCATGCCTAAAGCAAAAGGAGATTGGGAAGGCCCACTGGCAGTCTCCTGCCCGCTAAAACAAGGAGCCAGCTTTGTTCCACGCAGCCCAGTCCAGGATCATAAAGAAACACAGGAGGTGGAGCTAAAGGCTGGCACTATGTGTTGAAAGCGCCATCGAGTCACGGCTGACTTATGGCAACCCCAGGAAGGGGCTTTCAGGGCAAGTGAGAAGCAGAGGTGGTTTTGCTAATGCTTTCCTTTGCAGAATCTTCCTTGGTGTCTTCCCTTCCAAGTACCGATTCTGCTTAGATTCTGAAATCTGACAAGATCGGGCTACACCATGCTGCCTTCCCCCCCAAAGGGCAGCATCAGCCAGGAGGCAGTTTGGTAGTCTGGGATATCAAAGGAGGCAACCCCCTCCCTTGGGCAACATCCGAGCCTCCCTTCTCTCACCTATCCGTGCCTTTCTTTCCCCGGGCCTGGAGAATCTCATTGAGCTTCTTCACCACCACCGCATGGTTGATCTCTGTGCCTTTGGCAAACATCTTGGGCTTCTCCTGCGGGAAGAAAAAGGCAGAGTGGTTAACACTAGGCGGTGAGGGGCAATGAAAAGGAAGAGGCAGCAGAAGGATGCTGCACCCCGCTGCCAGTCCCTTGGCTGCCCTGAGGGGGCCCCCGGCCGTGCCTGCCTTACCTTGACCAGCGGGACGCCGCCCTTGACCTTCTCCCACTCGCCACTTTCGTTGTCATCCTCATCGTCCTCGTATCTCTTAGATTTGCGGTCTTGCTTCTTCTTGGCCTTCTCCTCACGCTTCTTCTCCAGAACTCTCTTATCCTCTTCTGTTCCAGTTCTGATCGGAGAGCAGAAGATGGATTAAAATAAGCTTATTCTTTGTAAACT